GCATTGGTGGCAGTAAGTCAGACCCCTTTATGGTGGGAGTTGGACTCCGCCAGGCCTGCCCGTTGTCACCAATTATGTTCATAACTTTTATGGACAGAAAATTTCTCGGTGCGGCCAGCTGGCAGAGGGTTTCCGGTTTGGTGGCATCAGGATTCCATCTCTGCTCATTGCAGATGATGTGGTCCTGTTGGTGTCATCATGCCGTGATCTTCAGCTCTTACTGGAGCGGTTCATAGCCGAGTGTGTAGTGGCTGGGATGAGAATCAGCACCTCCAAATCTGAGGCCATGGTCCTCAACCGGAAAAGGCTGGATTGCTCTCTCCAGATCAAGGGTGAGTTTCTGTCTCAAGTGGAGGAGTTCAAGTATCTCAGGGTTTTGTTCACAAGTGAGGGAAGAATGGAGCGTGAAATTGACAGACGGATTGGTGCAGCATCTGCAGTATTGCGGACTCTGTACCGGTCCGTTATGGTGAAGAGAGACCTGAGCTGTAAGGCAAAACTCTCTGTTTACCGGTCGGTCTATGTTCCTACCCTCACCTATGATCACGAGCTCTGGGTAGCGACCGAAAGAACGAGATCGCGGATACAGGAGGTTGAAATGAGTTTCCTCCGCAGGGTAACTGCACTCTCTCTTAGAGATAGGGTGAGAATTTCGGTTATCAGGAGAGTCTCAGAGTAGAACTGCTGCTCCTCCACATCAAGCGGAGCCATTGCAAGCCATGCAAGGTGTGAAGAGATCTTTTTTTGTAATGCCACTATCCTATCCTAATGGTTTTGCCCCTTTTTCTGTCTAAAAAATGTATTCTGAAAAGGACAAGAAGGCCGCGCTTACAGCTACGTGCACTCCGCCCGTCTTTTGGACGGCTGCATGTACATATTCTTGTTGTATCTCGGTGCAATGACAATAAAGCTTATTCTGATTCTGATTATGATTCTGAACATCCAGACTAACACTGCATAACACTTTTTACTGCAACCAGTTAGCGCTGATGCTGTCGCCATTCACCATATGCTATAATTCAGTAAAAGCTAAGGATTGCATGGTTAAAATGTGAAATGGGGACAAACCACATTTATGATTTCACTCACCGGGAACAGATGCGGCCGTGTTGTTGATGTTGCTGGAAGCTGTCTGGCTCACAGTGGTCCAGATGAGCTTTGGGTAACCAGAAATATAAAACCAGACGGCAGAATTTTTGGGCTGTCATGGCAGCCTACGTACGCTCTTACAGAAACTGGTGGATACAAGTGGTGCGAGAGTTTCTTTTGCATTGCCCGTAGTAAGTCAGACCCATTCATGGGGAGAATTGGACACTGCCAGGGCTGCCCGTTGTAACAGATTTTGTTCATTACTTTTATGAACAGAATTTTTCAGTGCAGCCAGGGGGCAGAGGGAGTCCAGTTCGGTGGCCTTAGGATTCCTTCTCTACTATTTGTGGATGATGTGGTCCTGTTGGTGTCATTGTGCCATCATTGTGCCTGGGTGCCTCCCTAGGGAGGTGCTTCAGGCATGTCCGACTGTGAGGAGACCCAGGAGAAGACCCAGAACATGTTGGAGAGACTATGTCTCTCAGTTGGCCTGAGAATGCCTTTGAGTCCTCCCAGAAGAGATGGAAGAGGTGGCTGTGGAAAGAGATGTCTGGGACTCGCTTCTCAAGCTGCTGTCCCCATGACTCTGCTGCGGAACAAGTGGAAGATGATGGATGGATAGATGGATGGCCGAACAGATGGATAGATGGTCTCTGCTAGTTTACCTGGGACTGGTGATCCAGGTCTTTAAGATTCACATCTTTGCTGATTCGGGGTTGAGCAAGGATTTATAGGAAAAACCTGTTTAGATGATTTTGGGGCCCAGGCCTTTGCAGAACTCTGACCTCATCTACATCAACCCATCGGGATGAACAGAAATAGATATTGTGAGCCAAATCTTCTGGTAAAACCAACGTGCCTGAGTTGATACATGTTCTACAGAAACAACCTGTGAGGACTTTCCACATGATTTAGGAGTGTTTCTGTGGAAACGTGTGCCCATTCATTCTGTAGAGCAATTATCCGGTCAGACAGTGATGTAGGGCAACGAAGGAGTCAGGCTGAAATTAACTTCCTCTGTGGGAAGGCCGGGCTTAGCTTTAGAAATAAGGTGAGGAGCTCCATCATCTGGAGTGGTCTCAGAGTTAGGCTGCTCCTCCTCACTGAAAGGAGTCAGTTGAGATGGTTCATCTTAATATGATGCCTCCTGGACACCTCCCTCTGGAGGTTTTTCAGGCATGTCCTACTGACAGCAGATCTCAGTAGAACCATGCCCGTTTCCTGCACAACTCAACCACTGATAAGTGGCAGAAAATTAGCAATGATGTTAGATCAGAAGGTTTGGTTCACTGTTTTCATTCTAGTTCCTCCTGCAGGTGCTCTGTTGGGTTGAGGTCAGGGTTCTGTGTGGGTCTGGACACCATGCACAAACCCTTGAATTTAAAACCTGAAGCCAACAATTATCAGGTGTCTCTGAAGCCTTTTGTCCATATAATGTCCAACAGGAAGTGACATCATGTTTCACTGTTTTATCACTGTGCTTGTGTTTCAGGGTAAATTTTACCGCTGCACTGATGAGGCCAAGAGCACACCTGAACAGTGCAAGTAAGTCTGAAGTCTTGTATCTGTCTAATTCCTGGCACTTCACTATGTCAATAAGCCAACCAATCTTTTTAAAGTTCTGGTTTTAGTTTCACATTTATTGAATCGGAGTGTGTCTTTGTTCAGGGGGACCTTCGTAGTGTACAAAGATGGAGATGTGACTCATCCAATGGTTAGAGAACGGATCTGGTTGAACAGTGACTTTAACTTTGATAACGTGTTGATGGGGATGATGGCGCTCTTCACTGTGTCCACCTTTGAGGGCTGGCCTGCGTGAGTATTCCTACAGAAATCTTTATCAACATTTAAATCATGTTTTAAATGTTCGACAATTGGCTCTTTAGGTTGTTGTACAAAGCCATAGATGCCAACGGAGAGAACTCTGGTCCCATCTACAACTACAGAGTGGAGATTTCCATCTTCTTCATTGTCTACATCATCATCATTGCCTTCTTCATGATGAACATCTTTGTAGGCTTCGTCATCATCACCTTCAGAGAGCAAGGAGAGCAGGAGTACAAGAACTGTGAACTGGACAAGAACCAGGTACCGGTTCCACTCCGACAGACTCCAAATCAGAAAGACCCTAAAAATAGTTTTTCCATCAGACAATAAGGAGAACTTTTTAAATTCTCATCTCATCTGTTTGTCTATTCAGACTGCAAAATGTCCCAGTAAAACCAGTTCTGCACTAAACCTCCCGGGCCGAGATAGGGTAGAGGTAGTGCAGCCAACCTGGGACCAGAAAGCTGCGGCTCGACTCCCAGTCATTCCCACATGTTGTGGTGTCTCTGAGCAAGACAACCAATCTCTAATTGCTCCCGGGACGCTCAATAGCTGCCCACTGCTCCACCTGGGTGTATCCCAGGTGCAATCAGTTAAATGGAGAGAACTAATTTCATCATTTTATGGAAACATACAATGATGACAACAAATAGCACTTACACTTAAACCACCACAGAACCAAGATCCAAGGCTTTTGCTACATTTAGTGTTAGGATAATTTAACATTATCCCTTAATAGCTCATTAAATAAATATGCCACACAGGAACGAGTAGATATTTTTCTCAGCCCAGGTTTTGTCTTGCAAGTTGGAACAGAGTTGAAATACAAGCACTCAAGATGTTTACATGTCACTTTATCTCCTATCAGTCTAATTCTGCAGGTTTCAGCTTCTCTGCTATTTCAGTTACCATTTAGCTGCTTTTATGCTAGTTTGAGCCTTTTTTCAGTTGGTTTCACATTTATTTTTGCACTCATTTCGACCTTTTGTTTCAGATAATTTCAGCAAAAATGTATTTCCCTGGTAAATGGGCTGCAATTATTTAGCATCTTTTTATCTCATCAAGATGCTCAAAGCACGTATAGCACAATCTGTCCCTCAGTCACCCATCCATACAGCACTCCACTTTATCCCTACAAGGAATAACCAGTGCTCTGTCACATTCATACACTGATGGGGTGCACATGGGAGGCAGCGAGGGGTTCAGTGTCTTGCCCAGGGACACTTCAGCATATGACAGATGGTGGGATCGAACTCGTGAATTGGAGGACGATTGAACCAGTCAGCCTCAGCCGCCCCTTCACTTGCTTTTTCATTCATTCATCCTTTATTTCTACAGGTTAGTCCCAGTGAGCCTCGGGGACTCATTTACAAGAGAGACCTGGTTTAACAGAGAGTGATGACAACAACAATAAACCGTTATAAAGGATGCGTACAAATGTATTATGTTAAACAAATGAAAATAAAATGGTAATTAAGAGGATAATTAAAAGGAAAAGTAGCAAAAAACAGCTAGATTATAAGGCGGTGTATAAAACTAAAAACAGGAACTGAACAGATGTTTGAAGCCACTTAGAGAGGTCAAAGGTCGAGAGCTTCACATCTTTTTACAAGATGTTCATTTTTCATGGATTCAAAACTAGTCATTTTAATTTTTATGATAACATTTCATTATTTTTATTCTAAACTGGTTCTCTCCTCTAAGTGATATCTTACTGTTAGCTTTTAGCTAT